TACTGAACCACATGGGCCCCATATACTGTTGCCCAGTACTATCCCATTCCCAGATAGCCCACTTAAAAAAGGACTGGGGCCCACATATCCACACCCAGGTCTAACCCATATATGGTCAGCCCATGTGATGTCATGTGGGTTCAATGTGGTCAGCCCACATGGGCTTCCCATGTTGGGCCCATGATACTAGAACCACATGGGCCCCACATACTGTTGCCCAGTACTATCCCATTCCCAGATAGCCCACTTAAAAAAGGACTGGGGCCCACATATCCACACCCAGGTCTAACCCATATATGGTCAGCCCATGCTGATGTCATGTGGGTTCAATGTGGTCTGCCCACATGGGCTTCCCATGTTGGGCCCATGATACTGAAACCACATGGGCCCCATATACTGTTGCCCAGTACTATCCCATTCCCAGATAGCCCACTTAAAAAAGGACTGGGGCCCACATATCCACACCCAGGTCTAACCCATATATGGTCAGCCCATGTTGATGTCATGTGGGTTCAATGTGGTCAGCCCACATGGGCTTCCCATGTTGGGCCCATGATACTAGAACCACATGGGCCCCACATACTGTTGCCCAGTACTATCCCATTCCCAGATAGCCCACTTAAAAAAGGACTGGGGCCCACATATCCACACCCAGGTCTAACCCATATATGGTCAGCCCATGCTGATGTCATGTGGGTTCAATGTGGTCAGCCCACATGGGCTTCCCATGTTGGGCCCATGATACTAGAACCACATGGGCCCCACATACTGTTGCCCAGTACTATCCCATTCCCAGATAGCCCACTTAAAAAAGGACTGGGGCCCACATATCCACACCCAGGTCTAACCCATATATGGTCAGCCCATGCTGATGTCATGTGGGTTCAATGTGGTCTGCCCACATGGGCTTCCCATGTTGGGCCCATGATACTGAAACCACATGGGCCCCATATACTGTTGCCCAGTACTATCCCATTCCCAGATAGCCCACTTAAAAAAGGACTGGGGCCCACATATCCACACCCAGGTCTAACCCATATATGGTCAGCCCATGTGATGTCATGTGGGTTCAATGTGGTCAGCCCACATGGGCTTCCCATGTTGGGCCCATGATACTAGAACCACATGGGCCCCATACTGTTGCCCAGTACTATCCCATTCCCAGATAGCCCACTTAAAAAAGGACTGGGGCCCACATATCCACACCCAGGTCTAACCCATATATGGTCAGCCCATGCTGATGTCATGTGGGTTCAATGTGGTCTGCCCACATGGGCTTCCCATGTTGGGCCCATGATACTGAAACCACATGGCCCCATATACTGTTGCCCAGTACTATCCCATTCCCAGATAGCCCACTTAAAAAAGGACTGGGGCCTACATATCCACACCCAGGTCTAACCCATATATGGTCAGCCCATGCTGATGTCATGTGGGTTCAATGTGGTCAGCCCACATGGGCTTCCCATGTTGGGCCCATGATACTAGAACCACATGGGCCCCACATACTGTTGCCCAGTACTATCCCATTCCCAGATAGCCCACTTAAAAAAGGACTGGGGCCCACATATCCACACCCAGGTCTAACCCATATATGGTCAGCCCATGTGATGTCATGTGGGTTCAATGTGGTCAGCCCACATGGGCTTCCCATGTTGGGCCCATGATACTAGAACCACATGGGCCCCACATACTGTTGCCCAGTACTATCCCATTCCCAGATAGCCCACTTAAAAAAGGACTGGGGCCCACATATCCACACCCAGGTCTAACCCATATATGGTCAGCCCATGCTGATGTCATGTGGGTTCAATGTGGTCTGCCCACATGGGCTTCCCATGTTGGGCCCATGATACTGAAACCACATGGGCCCCATATAGTGTTGCCCAGTACTATCCTATTCCCAGATAGCCCACCTAGTTGCTGAATAGGGCCCATGCATTTAGCCCATATGGGCCAGCCCATATGGGTCTCATTTTAGGTTAACCATATGTGTCCCATGCAGTTCGCCCAGATAAAACCCATGCCCACTCATTACCCATGTAGCCCACATCAAACACAAGTGGCCCACTCATGCGTGCTGGCTGGGGTGTCAGAAAACACTTTTTCTAAGAGATTCTGGCCCATATTCACATGAAGGGTAAAACATATGAGGCCTTGTTTGAAGAAGTGTTGAGAGTTAAAAAATAGTTTTCAGTATTAACAGGTCTTCTGCGAGGGCTGAGTGGCTGCTTTCAATACTCGAGGTCGAGCCAGTGCTCCCCTTGGCATTTAGTTGTTTTTTTTCTGCCCCCCACTGCCACCTGTCTGTCATCATCGTCCAACTAAAAGATCATTACAGGTATCATCTCAGTGTGTTTTTAAAGTTACAATGGTGAACATTGGGCACATTAAGCTGCTAGTGTCTTATTAGAAAGGACTGCTGGAGAACTTATGGGTTATCTTATCAGATAAGTGGTTCTGCTCTACATCTCTCACTTTTCTTTTTGTGAGAAAGAATGTTCTACAAGTTTCATTTCATTTGTACTTCTGAAAAAGTTCTGGGAATGTTTACTTGACCTATTACTGAATGTCGTCCCGTGGATCTCTTGGTAAGCATTTGGCATTCGCTTCTGCTTTTGTGATAACACACTTTGTGTGAGACATTGGTTTTAAGAATCTCAACATTTTTAGGTTAATTTTCTTTTTTTTTACTAGATGCTTTGGTTGTTGGTTGAGCACTTGCCTTTTCTACACAAGCGTTTATAGCCAGGTGGTTGATTTCCATTTCTAGTCTCACTGGCGATTGTGACATAAAAACCTCAAAGCCCAACATCAGGCCTCAGGATCCCATCAGACACAGTGATCAGCACATGTGAGGTTTTAGTAAAAATATAAATCCCACAATTTTGTTGTAGGTGTACAAAACACACCAAAACAGCTTTTACTTTGAAGACATTCTTAACATAACTGGCCCACTTTTGCACCTCATTAGAAGTTATTTGTTAAAAGATGTTCATATATATTATTTTATTTTATTTTTCTTTCTGAAATTGACCACACTTACTGTGTATTTAGTGTGTGGAGAGGATCCAGAGGTAATAGTTCAAATAGTAATGTCAGAATTGCTATTTGAACAGTCCTTATGAAAGTAAAAAGGGGAAAAGAATCTGACTAATGCAGAGCAGGTATGTGCATCGGTTCAAAAGTAACAGAGATGCACGTTACTTTCCACTCCTCCGGAGATGCAGCAGTCAGAGGGATTTTTTTTGTAATGTCTCAAAATTGGAATCCTAAAAGAAAAAAAAAGTTAACAATGCTAATAAAATATTGAAATCTAATCAGCTCTCTTAGGAGTCTCTGTGAAAGAATAACATGCCTGTTTTTTGTAGACTTTACTAGACTGTTCTACAACTAATCTGACACGTTTGCTGCGTATCTACTTGACAATGTTGGAAACTTTTATGTATCACAAAATTGGGTGTTAAAACATGCTTCAGTGTAGCTTCTTAATAAAACAATCAGATATAAGCAGCCTTTATTTCTACGTTCTAATAAGCCCTCTGTACTAATTGTCCTCGTTCATGTATCTGCAAGCTTGCATAAAAAGGTTGCATGCAGCATGAAGATAAAAACTCCATTCTGATAGTTCTCAGAAACATGCCTTCCTGTTTTTTCATTTTTATCAGATTTGTTGAAGCATCTGTATGCCACAAAACCTTCATGTCATCTGTGTATCCTTATCAAAGTGATGTGTGCAGGGACTTTCATCAAGAGGCATGCAGTTACTTACAACAAAACCAACCCTCTGCTCCTATTGAGGTTGAAACATGAGGGCGATCAGCTTGCCTTCTCTTAAAAAGACAACCTAATCACTGAATAATGATCGCTGATTAAAAGTTCAAAATTCACCTACTTTAAAACAGATGGTCTCTTATCTTTCAGCACAAACCAAGATCAGAGGTTTCAGACATGTCAACTGCTACTGTAGCAACGTATCTTTTGCTGCAAACTGCATTATGTTTTCTAGTCAAAAGGCTTTCGATTAGCCTACTTTTCATGGCAGAAAACATTTTGGTCTTGTTCCCTGACTGAATGCACCCCAGTTGCTTTGAGGTGCATTCAGACAAAATCATCTGACATAAAAGGAAAATGTTTGAATTCTGCCAGACGTATTTTTTTGGAGTGAAATTGTTGCTGCTGCAACAAATGGCTGATGAATGCAATGTGTTGCCCGCCCTGGAGAATTTCTCAAGGTTTTTCTTTTTCCCCTTCTCTGTGTCTTGCATGCTGAACTGTAATGATAATAGCACTAAGTCTCGCTACTTCTTGTTCTTTTGCTGTAGGACTCGTGATTCTGACCTTTGGGATTTTATTCTCCCTCATCAACAAATGAAGCAGTCATGAAACATTATATTGTACGTTGTGATAAAAGTTTATTTTGAGGTTTGTTTATTGCCAGAATCACTTGGACTTAAATACATAAACATTATGCATTTAACTCAACTCTGACTGCAGTAGCCATTCAGGATTACTATTCCATTGGCAATCTCTTCAAATTTAGGTTGACAGTGTCTTATTCACAATGAGACTATTTATTATCAGAAAGTCCTTTAAATAGAAACACTTAATGTGTTTAGATAAAGAATATGCTAAAAAAGATGCAGCTACTAAATGAAATGGCTAAAACTGCATTTCTGATATGGTTGCAGTTATTAGTATCTGATCTTATGCTGTTACTTTTAGGGGACAAAAGTTGTGAAATATGCCACCATGTCCCTGGAAATTGTCTGTTGTTTAACTTAAAGACTTTTCATGATTCAAACAGAAACAATGCAGACTTTCAGGTTCTGCTGTCTGTGCAGAATTAGAAAAAATCAAAGTTACCGAGTGGCACGTTTCCACGTCATTACTGTGGTACAAAGCCACATCATTTGCATCGACAGTCTCATCTTCACCCCCTGAAACAAGCATATAAAAAGGGATGTTTTCAGAGCTGCTGGCACTTCTCTTCAGCAGTTCACCCTATCTGTGACCCCATCATGTTCATCGTCTGCAACTTCGCTGCACTGATGCTTCTACTGACTTTTGAAAGTCCAGGTGAGTCTCTACTGCAGTCTGTAAATGTTAATTGAGTCAATATTTTATTGTGCATGTTTAATCTTTGTTACATGTGTTTATATATATATATATATATATATATATATATATATATATATAATATATATATATATATATATATTTCTTCAGAGACTTAATTTTGATTGTGTTAATAGTTATGTTATTATCATCACCATTAACTTTGTATTTTACCAAAATCAAGTTGATGCAGGGAAAATTATTGGAGGCCATAAGGTTAATCCACACAAACGGTCGTATATGGTGTTTTTGCGGATGGTGGACAAGGCTAATACAACAAAACGCTGCGGTGGATTCCTTATCAGAGAAGATTTCGTGGTGACTGCAGCTCACTGCCGGGCCAAGTCAGTGACATGATCATACATTTCATTAAAATGAATGATTGGAGACAAATAACAAAAAACTAACAAAAATACTAACTTCCCCCCATTTCTTCATAGGAATCATGAGTCCTACAAAGTCTTTTATGGGTTTGACAACCACGGTAAAAACCATAAAGAAGTGTCTGTGAAGAAAGATTTTCCACATAATCACTACAATGACAGTGTTTACACAAACGACATCATGCTGCTGAAGGTATAATTTGTATTTATCTGAAACTATTTCAACAAATAGGAAAATATATTCTTTATATTTGTTTTAACATGTTTTCACGTGCACAAAATTTGTTTTAAAAAAATACAGGCTGCACGTGTCACTCTTTTTTATTGTTTAATACTATCTCCAATTTTTTCTTCAGTTGTCCCACAATGTGAGCTCGGCCCACCATATCAAACATATTGAGCCGGCAAAGGAGGAAGGTAACTCACTGCCAAATGATTGCTCGGTCTGTGGTTGGGAAGTGAACTCATCTACAAAATTGCCTTCGAAACTGTTGGAAGTCGATGTCACACTTGTTGAAAATCAGGACTGTGTCAAAGAAAGTGCTTACTGCTCCGTAGGAGAAAGAGGAACAAGCGGGGTAATTTATATTTATCTTTTTTTCATTATTTTAACTAGAGAAAAAAAATTGCCACTCAAAATAAAAAGATTAATTTCAGTGTTTGTCTTATTCACTCCCAACACTCTGTGTATGTGCTTGTAGGGAGACTCTGGAGGTCCATTAATCTGCAATGGAATGGCATATGGAGTGGTGTCAGCAAGCAAAAACTACAGTGATTCCACTCTGTATAAGTACACAAACGTACCTGACACCATTGACTGGATCAATAATATCCTGAAGGACAACTGACTCAGCATCCAAGCCTCATTTCACCTTGATCAAATCATTTGACAATAAAAACATTTTTAGTGCAGAAGTAATAATCTGATCATTTGCTTTATTTGGTTCAGTGTGTTGATGCTATAATTCTGTATTTTATACTAAGGTCGGCTGTTTTTAAAGTGCATGCTCTGATCATTATAGTAAATGCTGAATGAATAGTTAAAATATGTTTGAGAGAAATGTTGGCGTTATATGAGGCAATTTAGATTTTTGCTGCCAATACAAGCCTTAATAAAAATATTGCTTTGCTCATGATATTTAGATAGAAGCTTGAGCGTTTATAGATTGATGTGCTTAATTTCAAAAGAAAAATAAAATGCTGATTTCTCACTATGTGCCACGAGTTTGTCGTCTTTTAACAAGGGTATGCACAAATGCATATAAATTTAAGTAAAATTAAAAACAGATCAGGATTAACAATGCTTTGGATAAAGAGGGATTTCTATTGTTTTATTATTTCATTAAGAAAAACACATACATAAGCTGCGGTTAACAGAAGGACAAGAGAAAGTACAACCAAACCACAAGCTGCTGCAAGTGGTCTGTGTGAGAAGAAACCCAAAGCAAACAAAGAGAGAAAGACAGAGACGTAAATGACGAAACTTTTAGATAACCAATTCATCTGGTAAGAAAGTGACCTTTTCCCTCTGAAGGCAATAAAAAAAAATAAAAAAGACTTTTCCAAATATTTTTGTTTCTCAAAACATTACAACAAACAACAACTGTTATGAGAAATGTGTTTTTCTACATTACTTAGGTTAACTGGCTAAGTATTTTCTGATACCAACTCTCAATCTGATACTAAAACACTTCGAAAGCAAACAGCATTTACAATGGTGTACAATTAACAAACCAATTTATAAAAACAAAACCCACGGATGTTTTTGCACATCAGAAGTCCTGCAATTCAGGAAAGAATGAACTTTAAATTTTTTACAAAGAGCTTTAAGTTTTCTATGTATGTGCAAATTATGTGGGTATTTGCTGACATCTGATTCATGTTCATGCTTCATGTTTTAGGAAAGCAAATATCTTTCTTCTAAAGCATCATGACTTCACAGTAGGCCTGTGTGTATGCAACTCTCTTTACAGCTCAGAGTTGCTTTTTTTTTTTCTCTCTGGTTGCTTGAAGACGTTGCCTCTCTGCAAATAGCACATTTAGCAAACATTGCTGATGGCTATCAGGATCTGCTTCCTTTCTTGACTTGAACAATGCCACAGAAACATATTTTCCACCGGTTAGTTCACAATGGGGTAATTTTGTTCTTTTTTTTTTTTTTACTTTTTCTACATGTAAAATGTAGAAAAAAAGTTTTCATTTTTGTTTCTCTGTTAAATTGTCTGGAGACACTTTAGCAAATATGGATTATTAAAAAATGTAATATGTTACTTACATTATTAGCTCAGCAAAAATACTTTAAAATACTTCTGTTAGTTTTTTAAATTACTAAATAGTTTAGCACAAAAATACATTGAAGATCTGCTATTGTTGTATTAGCCTTGCAGATCTCTCAGATCTTCTGGTTCTGGTCTGCTCAGCATCCCCAGAACCAAAAATGGAGGAACAGCAGACATTGTTTCAAATGTATGTTACATTTTTTAACAAACATTACAAAAATATAATGTTTGTTACTGGTTTCTCAAGCTTGTGAATACATGATGTTTTCATAACTTTAGATTATGGAAACATAATCTAAAGTTATTCTTTTATGACTTTAGATTATAAAAGTCTGAGCACAAACTCTGCAGAGATTTTTGATGCACAGTGTGCATGAGATTAATCTCAAAATGACTGAATACATTTTGACAAGAACATTTTGGGTGAATTAGAAAAAATTTAACTATTCATATTTTCTACGTTTACCAGTTGATTGTGATGCCAAATCTTCATTTAATCATTACAGGTCAATTTTATCCCTATATACTTGTTTCATTGTACTGATAGCACAGGTTTGACATTTGATGCAAAATGTATGTCTATCTATCATTGTCTGTCTATCGACAGACAAAGTTTAATTTCTTTTCTATTTCACTTACCTTTTGAGTATAGAACAAAATTTTGTTGTTTCCAAGAAGTCAGATTATATTCAGGAATCATTTATTATGTATGACAGGCAGGCAGACAGACAGACAGACAGACAGATAGATAGACTGTTACTGCAATAATTTATTTTTATTTTTAAACAAAACAAATGCTCAAAATGATCATGCACATCTTTAGGAATTTGTCATTTGGTCTCTCATGAAGAAGCCACACACAAAGTGGCATTTCTAAAATACTTGCCATCTGACATATTTTTACCCATTTTACATTTATTTGCAGACTGCCGACTGTTGTGTGACACATGCAACATCATACATGCAACATCAAATTTTTAAACACCTGCAATTAAAACTTAAGCGCCTAAACTGATCAGAGGTCTTTGATCAGAGTAGAGCCCTCTGGATTTGGGTTATAGGCCTTTCCTATTTCACAGACCAATGGACCACCAGAGTCTCCCTGAAAGCACAAACACAAGTAATTCTGTATCTTTTTGTTCTACTGGAAAACATTACAGGTGACAGGGACTTAGTTGACCTGGCCCTTTGTGTCCCTCAGAGCAGTACACTATTTCCTGAGTATACACCATTTTTTTCAGTAAGTGTTATGTTGGCTTCCATGAGTGTTAGTGACAGAAAATTGGTTGCTGCCCTCTGCTGTGCTCTGTGACACAGAGGAGTTTAACATTTGAACAGATTTTTTTTTTTAAGTTGCTAAAATCTTATTGGATAAATTTCTGTTATTCTAAAATGATCTCTCATAGGCAGCATATGCTTTAAGCTTAAACTCTTTAAGCTTAAACTTAAAAGTAATGAAAAGGGGTTAAAAAAAAGATGTAGTTGAATATTGGGATTATGAAGTCACTGGTGCATAGATCTTTAAAAACAATATATTGGTCTTCTACTCATGTTTTTTAACAAGTTAATTAATTTAGACAAACAGGCTTGATTTAGATTATGTTGTGTTCACAACGTTAAGACATTAACTTGAATTATGTCATTGGTTTGAGCATGAGAACCCCAAAATTACCACATGGTGGCGCTAAAGACAAGCTGATAATGTTACACAACTGAGATTTCTTTTCTCTCCAGCTATACAATAATTATTCCTATGTTATACATACATATTTATCTGGAATAGCACATCCAGATTCCTGACTTGAAACTGATGGCAAATGAAGAAGAAGATCTTTTGCATGCTTAAGAAGATCAAAGAGCGTCAATCTTCTCTACGACATTAATTTTATCCCTAAAGATATTTATGCTCAATAAATGTTTTCTAAACTGTTTTTATGCTTTTTAATTACCGTAGCATTTTAACACTAGTTCATGTTTGACAGATAAGAGAGCAGGTGATGTAGCCCTGAAGCTGCTGCCAGTACTCCTCCATGCTCCACTTCACACATTTGGGAAAAAAGTGTCAGAACCATCAACCTGGAAGTTCAGAGGGATTCATTGATATCCAGCCTGTAAGTGAATTTTGATCTCTGAACCATGCTCAAATTGATGCTGTTTAAATAAGTTCATCACAGTCAGTGTGTAAACGTAGAATCAGTCTGAAATTAGTTTTTCTGAATGTACAGCTCTGGCTTTAAATTCAATAATGGCCTGCTCTTTGTGTGTTCCTTCTCTATCAGGTTGGGACAAACCTAACCCTGACCCTAATAATGCATCATGGCATTATTTATGTTTTAACATAAATAATTTTCACCACCCTTACATTCCACATATCTCAAAATGTTTTATGACTGGACGTTTTAGTGATTTAAGACATTTGAGACGAAATTATGTCAGATTTATCATTGACTTTATGGAGAATTCTAGTCAAATGATCTACAATGAATTACTGACTGTCTGAAATACACATTTCAGATATCCACAATTAAATTATGACTAGTCAGAAAGTAAATTTTTGATTTGATTAGTCATGATTCTTATTAAAGATAGGATTAGGGTTATTGAAGAATGACTCCATAATTGAGGATGTCTTAAAATGTATTTTTGGATAGGAGATATGTAGTTTTGAATAGTGAAAACTAAATTAAAGATATCTTGAATTATAATTTTGACTGGTCAAAAATCCTTTTAAGATATCTCTAAATGAGTTGGAGATATCTTGAATCACACAGATTTTCTATTTAAGATATTTTGAATATGTACTCTGTATAGTAAAAACATCCCAGACTTTTGAAAGTTTAATAAAACAATGAAAAAGGGGGGGAAAGATGCACTCCGTTCATGTTGAAAATGATTTGACAATAGGAATTTTAGCTTTTCAAAGCTGTTTTAAAGTGCATTTTACATGTATAATACTGGATACATTTATTGGGCAACTGATTTATTGACCAGTTGATATCGAGGCACCGATTTTGGGGGATCGTGATCAGTGTATATATATATATATATATATATATATATATATATATATATATATATATATATATATATATATATATATATATATATATATATATATATATATATATATATATTAATATATAGTCAAACGACTATATATTATAGACTATATATTATATAATATTTTGATATATTATCAAACAGTACACTATGTTCAATTAATTATTCAAAGTAGATTAAAACGTTTCTATATAAGGAAATCAGAAAGCTTGATTTTATTTTTATTAAGGAACACAAGCAAAATGGAAAAAATATATATATATATTTTCTTATTCCAATTAGCGAGAAGCTCCTCAAAACTGTAATTCGTTTCAAAATAACATAAGATATTCTTCTCATGTTGCTGAAAAATATCTGAACAGTATTGAATCAGTTTTGTTTCATAATCTCATCAATCCATTCTCTGTAGTAGGGTATCTTGGTGTACTTGGTCAGTTTAAGAGCAGGGCTATTTGCTGAGATCACTCCAAAGGCTTTTCCGTCTTCACAGACTAACGGACCTCCAGAGTCTCCCTGAAAGCACAGACACAGCATGTGATGACTGATCAGATGGAAGAGATCGCTTCTTGTGTTTGCCATAAGACAAAGAAGCAGAAAAAAGACCTACCTGAGCCGGTCCCTCCTCCCCTTTAGAGCAGTACTCATTTTTCTCAGAACATAAAGGATCATGAGTGAGTGTCACATTGACTTCCTTGAGTTTAAGAGACATGGTTTCATCGTCCTTTCTTGTTGCTCCCCAACCAGCTACTACACACTTTTTGGGCAATTTGTTGTCACCCATGTCTGCCAGAACAATCGGCTGCACATTCTTGTTGAAAATAGCTTTGGTAGGAAACTAAAGGAACAACAGAAAATATTTAAAAGACTGTTTAACTTGTAATGTGCAGGTGTTTTATTTTAATCTTTTAGCTTTAGGGTGCATTCAGAACAGAAAGTCCAGCAGTCTCGGTTCGATTGTGGACTAAAATTGCAACATTTGTTACATTTTCAGAACTTTAGTTCACATTCACACTGCATTGTGTCAAACGACTAAAACTAACTGAAAAACCTTTTCCCCCCGTTTGCTGTGGGGATGCTGCAGCAAGAACTACTGAAGAAATCGACACAAAACCTCTGAAGAAGGCCAGAGCAACTTTCTTCTTCAAAAAAAGTGAACAAAAACAGAGCAGTTTCAGATTTTAGAGGTTGTAGGAATTTTTTTATTTATTGATATACATTACTGGTTTGGACATCCCCGGTTAGCCGCTAATGCTAGAGATGTTGCTGCAGGCAAGCGCAATGTAAAACCCGTTGATGTGACAACCGACACATCAACCACACAACATCTTTGTTAACCCGCAGAGCAGAGAGTAATATGTGACCAGAATGTCCTGCACTGCAGCTAACTTCCTGCTTTTGAAACGGTCTCTAGTCAGGTTGCATTCAGACAGGTTTTCTATTTCAACTGGACTGAGACCGAGGTTTTTAGGCGGATCAGAGTTTGGCTTTCAAGTCTGTTTTGGAATTCAAATTTGCATTCAGACGTCTCCAAAAACTCTGACTTTCTGGACAAACGGATTATCGTCTGATTCAGGACTGAATACACCCTAAGTCAATAGCATGTTTAAAGAAAAGATCATTTATGGTATTATTGGAAGTAGTTAAAAAAAAGGCCTACATTACCTTCAAAAGCATGATGTCATTTGTGTGATTTCCATTGTTGTATTCCTGATGTGGAAAATCTTGCTCCACAGACAAACATGAACTATTTTTGCCATAACGGTGCATTCCAAGACAAACTTCATAAGACCTAAAAAGAGAAAGATGGAGAGAAAAGAAAAAAAAATGAAATAAAGAAAGAAAAGTAATTCTAAATTATCCGCAGAGTTTAATGTGCTGTAAAATAACTTAGAGCAAACTTACTTGGCTTTGCAGTGGGCAGCAGTTATCACAAAATATTCACTCACGAGGACCCCGCCACAAAATTCTGGCTTACCATTGTCGTATTGGAGAGTCACAAGGGCCATGTACGGTCTGCTGTGAGCTGCAGCCTCATGACCACCAATGATTTTACCTGCATGAGCTGTTCGACATACTTTTTGTTAAATGTTAAATTAGTAGCAATGATTATTACCATCATTAAAATGAGTCTTGATTACAGTAAAACTAAATGTGAAACCACATATGACCAATACTTGCACATTCAACGTCAAATGTAAAGGGGTCAATTATTCATACTTAATGTGTCCTCAACAACCTCGGTTGTTCAAAAAGCTTTTTCTTATGGAAGGTCAATGTCAAAACAGCATTTTTTCCCCCATTTTGAGTTCACTTTAATACGCTGTTTGCTTAGAAGGCAAGATAGCTGCCCCTGATCTACACCTATGTTATTCAGATGAATAATGGCAATTGTATGAAGCACTTAAATTCAAAGTTCAAATGTAGTGTATAGTAAGACATTGCAAAAAATACTCACCTTGTCTATAAAAAGTAAGCACAAGCACCAGCGCTGCTAAGTCACAATAGAGGAACATGGTGAGATCACAGTCTGAGACGTTGAGGAGGAGCAGCAAACACCTCTGACTGTTTTTGCTCTACATGCTTCCTTTTATCTGTTTGCACATGCAAACCATGTGGCTCCAGACCACACTATTTTTTATGTTTACTAATGCTAAGATCAACTGGTAAGACGCATTTCTCAACACCATTCATCCGTTTCTCTCAGTTTTAAACACAAAACCCAAATTATAAAGTAATTTCACTCTAAACCTATAGGCTGGTTTCTGCAAAACCAAACTGTAAACTCAAAACTGTTCAAACTGCACTCGAAACTAAAACAGTGTTACAAAGAAAGGAGAAAATAAGGAATGTACAATTATCAGATTATAAAGACTGTGACATAAACTTTATTATGCACAAATAAAGGTTTTCCCTTAAAAAGAAATTTATAACTTGTAATAAAAAAATAAACAAAAAATCAGAATATGGTTTGTGTTATCAAACAGAATCCACTCTGCAGCATCATCAAGCAGTGTGGTTTTCCAAATCCACGCTAAGCAGGCATCCACACTTAGCATGTGGATGCTAAGTGTGGATGCTTCAGTGGGCTTCTGGAGGCAGAGTGCAAAACATTTTTGCAAGTCTTAATTTTGACTGTGTGAGAGCTTAGAAAAGTGCATTTGTTTAAAAACTTTCCAGGTATCACTTTGAAGGTTTTAAAACGTCAGCTTCCCTGACCGATCTGCCGCAGATCTTGATCATTTTATGTTCAACCACAGTAGAATGGTTAAGCATAAAAAAAAGCTACGATGTAATTCCAAGTAGGTATAAACATTTCTTTCTTCTCTACAGAAGCCACATTTCTCTAATATAGGCACTTGCTCAGTCACATGTTTTCCATTTGAATTTCTTAAAGTCTTTCTTGATCACTGATGATATTGGGATTCTGTTTTATGTGTGTCTTAGTGATGTGCTATTTCTTTATTTTACCTTGCTCAACAGGAACCTCTGATTGCTATCATCAACCACTTCCTCTTGTTAGCTTCCTAAATGTTGAAGACTAATGTTCCCCTTTGATTTTCTTACATCTTAAATCTTCAAGTTCTTTTCAAACTCCATGTAGGTGATGAGGCCTATTCCATAATGCCTCAGCAGAAGCCAAAATGTGAAGGCTTCTTAATAATGCATGCAATAAAATGCATATAAAATGCAAATAAAATGCATGCACCCAGTTGCATTCAAATGGGTTGAGAAGTCACAACCGTCTGAGGGTTTGACCTTTGGCATCTGTGCATTGTGGGCCTTGTAAAGTGGCAACCTAAATGACTTGTTGAGGTTCTTCTTCTAGCAGAAAAAACCCAGAACATTGAAGTTTATGTGGAGCATTCAATGGAAATGAATACAAAAGAGTTGGGTACGACTGTGGCCCAGTGCAATCAGCAGCAATAGTAGACCTAACGTCCTAGATATTTAAAACTTAGTTTCATATTTTAAAGTGAAAGTACAGTGTCTTTTTTTTTTCGTTTGTGCTTGCAGGTTGCTGTTATTTTTTCCTGTTTTCCATATAACTCGGTTTCAATCTGTCGTACTGAAGCTTCATTTCGCTCAGTCGGGTCTGCAGGTCGGATGCCTTTAAAAGGCTCAAACATCCATTGCAAATCAGGGGGGAAATCATTTTTGCAGTGGTAGTTGTGAACTTATGGCTGTGAACTCTGCACACGCAGTCCATGCCTGATCACTAACTACATTTAAATCTAATCAAAAATGTATTTTTAACCCGTGGCCCTAACCATGGAATCGACTGCTGTATTTTATCTGGTTTTTTATGTTGACCCTTTAAAATATGTCCACAAGAAATAAATGCGGGGCTTATTCGGAAGCAATTTGCAGTTTGATGACTGCATTGTTTTTTCCCATTTCCTGACCTATTTTGGTTAATCTAATCAGGTTGTGGGTGGCGCCAGCGCCTCTGCTTGATTCGTCCTGCAGCATTAATCATTCAGGGTGTTAATAATCAGCAATTGGCGCTTTTTATACTTCTTGTTCCACTCACCTCTCATTAACTTTTTTTCTAAAAAGTCATAACGGGAAGTTCCATCTAATGGCGATTTGGTGGAAGTTGCGGTGCCTTCACTGCTGAAATGGAAACATTTACAACATCCTGCAAAACATTGAGTTTCCCAAACAGTCACAGAGAGGTCACTCTGTTAGCAGTTTTTAATAAACATCCTGTGGTTTTGATATGTTGCATTTCAGGAGTTACACAACCTACTGTTGCGAAAGAAAGACTTCGCACCTCAAGATAATGATGTGATAATTACTGAGCGTGAGACAAGTTTGTTGGGCTTAGAACATAAATGTTATCAATCTAACACTTCATGCAGAGCTTATGCCTGCAAAGGAGAAATACATTTATAAATATTTCTCACTTTTTTATCATATTTATACTTTAACAATACAGTTAAAATGGGTTGGAAACGAGATTGATTACCGATCGATTATTTGCAGCAAAACTTTATAGTTCTGCGATCACGCCCCAATGTCTTAGCAATTTCAAGAGTGCTGCATCCTTCTGACAAACTTTTTACAATTTTGGACTTTTGAGAGTCACTTAAATCTGTTTTTCTGGCCTATTTTTTCTGAGGAAAACCTGCCTAATGATTATGCACACTTTGCCATGAGGTGTTGATCGTCATAGGCCCCTTTTTAAACAAATACTTATCAGCTCATATGTTTATATTTAATAGGCATTCAACGACATGCAGCTTGGAGTTGGAAAATATGTGCAGAAAGGATGATATGGTCATATTTTTTCACACAGTGTTGATGTTTCACAGAGACAAAACTTCTGCAGTTCTTGCAGCGACACTTTAAGGCGATTATCTTCCACATCTGCATAAATTAAGCATTTCCAGAACAGGTAACACTCATCATTACACACAAACAGCAGTTAAATAAAAGAGCACATATCTTTTTTTCAAAATGCATAATTCCATATCTCATGCATCATCAATTTACTTCCTCTAACATTCTTCACACTTAATGCATAGCTGACACTAAGATACGAAAATGAACCCACAAGAAGATATTAGACATGTTTTAACCCTTTAAAATGTCTGTTGTTTTACATTTAACGTGCTCTTATAATATTTCTTGTATCACATACTTTTTTTCTTTTTTCTTTTCTTTTTTTTTATTTAGACAAGGTATAAATGCTTTGTGACCTCCAGGTAATAGTAATGAAAACTGCCTGCTTCAGATATGTCTACAGTTTTCTATAATTGATTCCATTTCTGACTTGGACACAAATGAGCAGAATCCAAAGAGAGACTCTCAAAGGGAAAGTTCTGATTGTTTTAAATTGAGTTCAGTTGTGAGATACTGTTGTGAGAAGGTCATAGTAAGGGAACATGTACCTTTCTAAACCATCGTCCATCTCAAAAATGCTATAGTTAAACATCCAAAGCCTTTTTGTTTCTACAATCTTGGGGAAAACCCAAGTCTTGCTTAAGAAACACTAAGTTAAAATTGTGATTAGATGATCTTTATGCTCTGGCAAAAACATCATGGTCTGCCAGAAAATGACAGTGCTTGTGAGGAATCTTTCACCAGACAATTGTAAAACTGCACTCCAGCATTAATAATGGTCCATCTCCAACTGTTTTCAGCATGCTAAAAATGTCAGTGATGAGACCCGGCTGCCTGTCTGTTGTGTGGGAAGGAAGGTAAAGGTTTTACCATACCTTTCTAACATTGTTACACAAACAGCTCACCTGAATTTCCAAAAGGTGCAGAAATTAGCGAGACTGCAACAAACACAACTCACTGCACAATAAACGCTCCGTCGCGCTCTGCTCTTATCAATCACATCGCCCAAAATTTTAACCTGACTAACCCTGCAGTTACAACAAGCGACTAAATGGAGCTGGAAGATGTTGCTTAGCCGAATGATGGTCTAAAAATGAAAGCAGTGCAATCTTAATTAAAATAATACGTAGAGTTTACACGGACGTCGTGTGTTCGACTCCCAGGCCCGGCAACTTTTGTCGCATGTCTTCCCCCCTCTCCTTGCCCTCTTTCCTGTTAGTCTACTGTCAAAAACAAAATGTGAGCCACTAGAAACAAAAAGAAATATTTGTAATATTGGTAGGGTGAAAAATCAGCACTCTACAGAGAACTTTGTTCACTTGCAGTGAGGTGTGAATATTAATTATAATGACAAAAAAGCAGCCAACTGCATTTGTGTAAGACAACTTCTGACACTGCAGGTCATTCGCTGAGAGCTTTTCTTATAATGCTGAGAAAAAATATGAATTACTCATCTGGCACACACACAAGCATTAGCATGTTGATTCATTGCAGTGGTGCATTTCTTAGAATAATGTAATCTCATTTGACAACCACTATCTTAATGATCTTAATTTTTCCGACGTCATTGACTGAATTATAACTAAACGTTATGAGCCAGAAACAGAGATATGATAGATTACAACTTATCATTGTAATTTTCTTTCATGTCATCTAAAAAAAAACATAAGACATGTATACACTGCATGATTGAAGCTCTCTTTTTCAGGAAGTTGTGTGCAATTTAGTGACATGCAGTAAATGAAAGAACAAGAAACATTGTGCAATAATCTTAACCCAGTCCTGAATAAATCTGCAAAGGATCAAAGTAGTTTTGTCATCTGTTCTCAGAACAAACAAAAATGCTGGGATTTCAAAACTCAACAATTTTTATTGTTGAGTTTACTGCTAAAGTCAATAAACTGCATACTGACCTCCCACACACATTTAACTCAGAAACTGCCAATATCTGGGAAATATCTTTGATAAACTGGTGTGAGGCAAAACAAGATCTTATCCAGTGTTGATGGTGTTCACAAATTTTGAAAAAAAAAATTTGTTTTTATCACCCCCTCAATGTAAAGATCAAAAATCTAAATGTCATATGATGTCACCTGAATAACCAAATATCATCCAGATAAGCATGACTTAAATTTATACTAATATTATGCATATGACAATCCTCTTTTCAAACGATTTTTGCTAAACAAACCATAGATCAACCGGTTTTGTTGACAGTATCTTATTTAATCGTTCTTTCAGTGAAAAACACAAAATATAGCAAATATTACTCCTCAAAGTGAACAGGCTCAGGTTTAAAGGCAATAAGTGAGAGGACACAGTGCTTCTTCTATCCTCAAGACATCTTTCTTGCATTAATTGGTACTGTTCACAAGGAGGCAGTGTTGCACAATTTGTTAATAGTTAATATATTAGGATCAATGAGGAGAGGCTTTCTTGATTGTAAACCTAACACACGACAAACTTAGATGAAATCAACTCTGATATAATGTGTGAATTTTTGGCATACATAAATGGTGCAAGTCCATTAGGATTCATCAAATAATGAAGACACCACTTCATAAGCTGCACCACCTTCACAGAGCTCCAGTGTCCTGCTGAGAGAATATGCAGAATACATGCAGCTGTTTATGTGAATTTTTGCACATACACAGCAAAAGTTCACCAATTATCAATGCAGTTATTATGGAATATCTGCTAGACCCGATCCAGGCTTTTCATCTGATGAGCAGGAAGAGTTTTCTTTCACACACTCCTCATTGTTAGTCAGTGTTACATTGATTTCCATGAGTTTGTCAGTCACATTTATTTCCCCAGTCAGTTTCCCCCCAAAAGAGACACCATTCATTTTAATTACTTTTGTATTTCCTGTTTATTTTTTTTCTTTTAAACAACCACCATCATGTATTTATCCAGTGTGTGGGATCTCATTTTAGCTGCCACACGGTGGCAGCTAAAGTTATGAAAGAACAAACAGAAGAAAACTGATTTTGTCTCAGTCTTAAACAGTTTTGGTCCTTAAGATATTTTAAGTTGAATTTTTAAAAAAATTGTGTCCGTTTATTTGTATTTTCCATGTCTTGTTCATGAGCAAAAATACACATTCTTCACGGAAATAGAGATTGTCTTATTTGTAGACTCAAACACACATCCAAACTCACAGCTTAAGAATTTGAACATTTTGATTAACGCTTCTTAAAGTAGCTGCAGAACATATCATGTGAACTTTCTGCAGTGACCTAAACTGGCACATATAATAGTTTTCATACACCAATTTATTATTTAGTCATGCATATTTGATAATTACCTGGTCACTAGGGAAAATTCCCAACTTTAAATCAGATTAAATTTGCTCAAACATGATCCGATTAATCACATCTCTTGTTCATTGTTTCTTGCTGAGAGCTCAACATCTTATTGAGACGATCCAGTTATGAAGGGTTGAATCTAAAATCAGTAAACTGCAATTCTTGAGCTGAAAGACAACACACCCTTTAAGAGCTTAAGGCTAATTTATGAAAAGTTTATTATTGTAACTTCAAGAAGAATGGCAACCCTCCTGCTTACGCAATGACACATATTCTTCACAAGGAGGGAGTGTTGTCCTCGTTTTAGTGTATCAGTTCCTGAAAAAAAGGCCGACACAAGTTTCAGACTACAAGTTTATTGTTTTATATATACATATGTGTGTATATATATATATGTATATATATATAATTGCACAAACATAGAGGAGAGCCTATTGGCTCTATTTATAGCAAGATAATCATTTGACACACATTGAATCTCCAATCATTTTACAACTATCTAGTTAAAGTTTAGCTTCAACAAACTGAAATGTCACATCAATGTCAAAATAGGTTCTCAAACTCAATATAGAAGAATATTAACAAATTTCACTCTCAGACTATGTCCATGGACTGGAGAGGTGGTGTACCCTGCCCCTCTCCAGAACCCACTAGGATGGATGGATGGATGGATGGATGGATGGATGGATGGATGGATGGATGGATGGATGGATGGATGGATGGATGGATGGATGGATGGATGGATGGATGGATGGATGGATGGATGGATGGATGGATGGATGGATGGATGGATGGATGGATGGATGGATGGATGGATGGATGGATGGATGGATGGATGGATGGATGGATGGATTATGTTCATAATATGTTGTTTCTCTGTTTGTTTTATAAACAGAGAAACTTTCCTGACAGTACAATCATTATGTGAGATTCCTCCCTCAGCAATGAAGTTACTAAAAGTAAAGTGAAACATGATTGAATTGGCAAGGTCTTCTACTTCTTGCTAAGAGCCTTTTTCATTGTTGAGGTGATCCAGTCAACGTAGCAAGGTGTCTTTGTGTAAGCAACCATTGAATGACCGTTTGGGTTTAGGGACATGAATGCCACAACTCCATAAGCAGTGCTATGTCCACACACCAGTGGGCCTCCAGAATCCCCCTGCAAGAACATACACATAATGTAGAGATTAAGAGAGTGACAATGAGATGTTATATTATCAATAACATCTCAAAAGTTTGCTTTAATCTGTGAAAAAAAAATTATAAATCACATACCTTACCAGGTCTAGCTATTCCATCTGAACAGTATAATTTAAGTTTAGTACAATTGCTATTTTCAACCAATGTGACATTCATTTCCATGAGTTTGTCAGAGATCGCTCCATCCGGACGGGTTTGACCCCAGCCGGAGATGATGCAAGATTTGGGCAGAGTCTCGTCATCACGGCTTGCCAGAGAAATGGGCTTCACAAAGTTGTTCATCACCGCTTTAGAGCCTAGCTGGAACAGTGACGAGATAAATGAAATATAAATACAAAGCCAAACTCATATTGTACTATGCATTGTTTTCTAACATGAATTGTTTTCTAGCATGAACTGAACTCATTAAGTTTTTTATGTCTGTTGAAGACAAACTACACCAAATGGCAAAAATATAAAGTGTTTGTTCATTTTTACCTTAAGGAGCATTATATCATTAACAAATGCGTTTTTGTCATAGTTTTCATGAGGAAATACTTTTTCCACAGTTCGATCCTGTATTTTGTCATTTTTCAAATATTTGGTATCATCAACTCCGAGGTAAACTGTATAATTCCTGTAACGACATAAACCACAATGACACAAAGTGCAAGCATTCAGGTTCCTTCTGTATAGGCAATAATTACAAATATAAGCACAAAAATATGCAAAAATATTGTCAATAAATAAAAATGATGGTTTTAGACAGACTTGGCTTGGCAGTGGGCAGCAGTCAGCACAAAATCCTCGTTCAGAAGAAATCCATCACAGAAAGATTCATCGTTGTTGGCCAGGTGTCGTCTTATGAACACCATGTACGGCCTGCTGTGTGGCTCAGCCACATGGCCTCCAATTATTTTTTCGGCTCGGCCTACAGGGAGCATTAGATACAACAGACTGCACTTAATATAAACACATACACAACAATCCTTTTCTTATACAGCTGAAGTTAGCTGTATAAAGAGAGCTCTACAATATGACAAATATGTTTGCTTAATTTCCCATACCAGCCTAGTGTTTAATTATAATGGTCCTTGGTGCTCAAAAAAGACAAATTAGACAAATTGATGGTTTTCATTCTATGGAAGCATTTTCTTACCTTGACCATAAAGAGTCAGCAGAACCATCAGTACTGGCAGCTTGTTATTGAAGAGCATGATGTTATCAAAGTTCAGCTGAGCAACGGTGCTGAGCAGCGGAGGCACGAATAGTTGACAAGTTCAAGCCCTCATATCTCTTGGCTTTTAAACAAAAGGGGATGAGTCTTACTTGCATATGCAAATGATGTGGCTGGGAGACACATTCAGACAGAGCCTCACAGAAATACAGATTTTATAAGAGAACTTTGGGGCAATGTGTAAAAATGCCCACAAATCCTGCAATTGTGTTTTTGCTGCAGGGAAAACAATTATACTAGTATTTCCAGTTAGCATAGTGAAGAATCTCTTTATTTTATCAATTTATTTAAATGATAATGAATTTGGAAGCAAGTAAGCGACACATGATGCCACTTTTCGTCACACAATCAATTATTTGTAATTCTCCTCGGACTCTATCACTCATGGCACATGTCTAAAGAACGAGCTCAAATTAGATTGAAGGCTCAAAAATGTGGCAACATTTTGGCAATAAAGCTGACTTTCTTCAAAAGGAGGCAGCATTGTGTTTTCAGTGTAAGAGTACATATGGCACACACACCCTTCGATAAAGAACATGTTTAATTTTATTTGCTTGCTGATAATTCAGCACAAATGGATAAGCGCACAAGCCATGTTGGTTTGACAGTATTATGAATTTATTCACTTGCAATTCTCTCAGTTATTGTGTCAGCTAGTCGTCAGATAAAATGTGAAATTAAATGACACCTATTAGCCAGGTCTGATGTGCAGGTTTTCTCCCAGTAGAGCCTCTTTTCACAGTTGAGTCAGGTATTCTAGCGTCATGATACAAAGGGGGCCCTTTTGAGTCTTGCAGGATCATGGAGACCACCACTCCATAAGCTGGGCCACGTTCATCCTGGTTTGCCAGATTGACAGGTTACTCATTATCTTTAAACTTTGCCTTGGAGCTTTAAGAATAGTGCAAAAAAGTATAATCAGCATTAAGATTTGGTCTTTGTGGTTATTTTAGTTTATTGATATCAGGGTAACATGGTTTGTAGTGTCAAGATCTTTGCAAGTGATACCATGAAAAACAAATCGGTAACAGTCAATACATAAGATTTACAACTATTGTTACCTTGAGGAGAATGACGACATTCTTAAAGGTTTTATTGATGTGATGTACATGTGAAAATACTTGTTCCACTTTTATGAGCTTCACTTCGTCTTGTCAAATGATACGTTCTGTGAAGTCCAATATAAACTAAGTAATCCCTGTAATGGAAAAAGGAGAAAAATTTGATTCCGCATTATAAGCCAGTTAAGACACAATTCATGTCAGTAAAAAAAAGGAACAAAAAAAAAAACTCACTTAGCTGCACAGTGAGCAGCAGTCATCACAAAGAGAATGAATCCATCACGATTTCTTGTTTCATTTGACGTGTTTCTCCTCAAGCACCATGTAGGGCCGGCTGTGTGGCACAGCTTCCCGACCTCCAGTTATTCTTCCTGAATAAACTGGAAAAAAAAAAGTAAACATAAGTATTCAAAATCAGGAGTTCACTTCCTCCTGTACAGCACGATGGATTGAAAATGCATTCCTGGACCCTCGGTATAAAGTAGTTCATGAATTATTATGGCAACTTCAAAATACAGTACAAGCCCTTTTATTGTATGTCTTTTACATATTTATCTCCATAAAGCAGTTTGAAATTTACTTTAATCTTTGTTCGATATTTGTTTACTAAACATGTTGGACATTTTATTTGCAGAATTTCTAAAGTACTCAGTATCTCGGGTTATTTCAGACCAGTTTTGGCCTTGCATTTCGATCATTTGTTTAGGTGAGTTTTCTTTTCCTTCCTCCTTCTGCCTATTTAGATTACTTATGATAGGATCTGACTTTGAGTTGTTATGCTCTGTATTTAGTTAATTTTTTCCCCTGTTATTTACTTATTCATTTATTTCAGTCTGCTGATTTCTGTTTACTTCCTGCTCCGCTCCTGACTTTCTCTCTCCTTCGTCAGTCTACCTGACTGGCCTCAACCCATTATCAATCAGCACCGGTTCTCTGTCCAGTAAACAAACTCCCCATTTAAGCTCCAGTTTGTTCATTCACTAACCGCTGGATTCCCTCCTGGTTTCCCTTGCAGTTATTTCTTGCCTTCAACAATTTATTTTTGCTCTCCCTTATTGTAAATATTTTTTTTTATATGTATCTTTGCAACTGGGTTAATAACAAATCATGACAAATGTTTGATTTAAATAATTTTAGAGTCAGGTAAACACAGGAACGTTGACATTTCCCAATGTAATTGACACACTGTCTACTTACTAAACATATATATATATGGCCTTTTTATACTAAATGACAAGAATTGCCTTACCTGAGCACATCGTGAGCACAATCAATAGTGTACCGCCACTGTTCTGTATCTAAACATAATGCGGCTGCTGTCCAGCTCAGATACTGAGCTGAGCAGAAGAGTAAGATCTCTGACAAGTTCAAGCACACAGTCTTTTCTGCTTTAGAGAGAGAAACATTTTTGCATCGCTCATATAGGCAACACATTGTTTGCACAATGATTTGGCTTTTAGTCACCTTCTTATGTAGGAAAGCGAGACAACAACCTCAAAGAATGACCTGATTGTGAATGTACAGTTTTAATGTTAATCATTATTAGTATCATTCAAATGTCTTCTGAATGGGACTGGTTTTATTATTGTTATTATTTACCTACCTGCTAAAAATAGAAATGCATGTACTGGGGGAAAAGTTGTTTTATTTATGCAGATCAGTTTGTTTTTTTGAATTTTGCGTGAGTGTGCCTGACTGTTAGGCTGTGAAATTGGAGAAAAAAGAAAAGCACGTCAGTCATTTCGAAATCCAGCACTCTTAAAGAAAAAGAACATTTTCTCTCAAATTGCTTCTGAGTGGTCTGATGTGACGAAAACTAATCAGATAACAGAGTTGAGAAGAGGGCGAGAGAGCCAGAAGTCATCGGGGAGATTTCGATAGATTGATTTCTTAGAAGTAGTTACATGGTGACAACCAACATATTTTGAGTTTTTAAAGCATGGGCACCAACTCACTGCTGAAATGCTTGATTTTTCTAAGCACAAAACTAATTTGCATATTTTTGATGGAGAAGATTTTACACAGAATGTTTTATTCTGGTGTCTTGCCTATTTCAGAAGTAAAAAAATAAGAAGAGTGAAATAACCAATGCACTTCTTTGTACACGTATCCTAAATACTTTGGCTTTCGAAGCCAAATTTCGAATGGCTTCGAAATTTGAAATGCATGAAAAACCACTTTTTAAAAATGTCAGTGCAAGTTAACTTGTAATTGACTCAAATAGTGCATGCCTCAGGATGAATCAGACCGACTCAGTGAGCTGTAATATAGCTGGTCATAATTTATTCACCAGTGCTTCTGTGGTATTACGCTCAAGATTCAACAAGCTCTGTTGACGTCTTGTGATCAAAGCTATGGGTTTCTAAGGGGAGACTCTGTGTCTGTCATTCACCCTCAAAGGTAACGTTATTCTGATGTTATCATGTCATAAGACAGAGAATAAAAATATAATTTATTTAAAAGTGTGGTTTGCGGAACTTGAGGTGAAATCTAACCCATGGAACTACAGAAATGATGAAATGATTAGAATTGAGTTGCAAAGAAAAGAAGTTCAGGCCGGACAGAGCAGATTTGGAAATTACAAGAACAGAGAAAGTGTTGTTCTCTCAAAACCTCAATCACTTTTTATTAGGAAAAGTATGATGTAATTACTTGAGCCTTCTGATAGCTCAAAATTTTAAAAAATTATTTGTAATCTGTAAGGAAGTTCAAGGTTGTCGCTTGTAATCCACGGATCTTCAAGAAGTTGTTGGAGATGCTGATGACTGTGAGCAGGAAGGATATCCTGCAGCGCTATGTGTTACAATGACGCTGAAGAGGCCTCTAGCTGAAGGCATCGTTGTTGTACAAAAGACTGATAAAGTGAATCCTCACAGTTAGCCAGAATGTTTTATTTTTCTTTTGTTTTATGATTAACCTTCTGTTACACAATCATCTCCAGAGATTTTTCAGGTGATTTCTTCTCACCATGCCACTGGAAAAGATTATCTCCAGCTCTCAGTTCTCAGTTGCTTGACCTTCTCTCTACAACCCAACAATTAGGGAGTCAATGGAGTATTTCTGCAGATGACATGAGTCTGACTTGTACTGGAAGACTGAGGGGCACAGAGTCAAAAGAAATGATCCTCACAGTGCTGATTGCTTCGTCCAGATCACAGTGGGTTTGTTGAAACAGGTATATGACGGCATCTCCAACTCAGGTAGGATGTCTTCCACAACACTGGAACTGTTTTCTGGGTCAACTCAAGGTTGAAGAGGTTCTGTAAAATCCAACAGATCTCCTCTGCACAGGCCTTCTGGGGCACTCACACCATCCAGACATGCAACCTTGGCCTGCAGTTCATTCTGCAGGCCAAGGGCAAAGCGAGCACCACCATCTCCTGATTTGAAGACAAACATGTAGAAGCAGAAGGATCCCTGGCTCATGGAAAATCCTTTCACTTCCAGGGGTCTCAATTTCCTTGTTTTTGCAGGGAAATGTCCTGCAATTTTTCCATGCGTCTCTGCTTCAACACACCCAAATCCAGCAACAATTAGGTCATAAGGAGGAATCCGGAACCATGCATCTTTTCTTTCAACAAAGTTGAAAGAAATATATAATTGGACAATATAATTGGAAAAAATCCAAGGAGTATGGATACCTTAGCACTGGCTGGACAATGAATGTATGATATACTTCAGATCTAAGTAATCAAAAGATCCGAAGTATTGAGGCCACTGTTGGCTTTAACTTCCTTTTCATCTTTTTGGCAGTATGATCAAACATGAAGGAATGCATCTTATTAACCACAGTGTATGGATATGTCTTTTACATCACTTCCTATGTCTAGACACAAGTATTTTCCCTTTATATCTTTCTCATAAACCTTCACGTAATTGTTTTAGTGAGGCAAAAAAAAAAGAAGAAAGGAGGAGGTGAAGGAGTTGTGTAAGCAGGTTTT